GACTACGGTTTTGGTGTGGTTGATGGTGACCTTGTTCTCCGTAGTCCATGCCTGTAGCCTGTCCAGGGTGCCTTGGAGCGATAAGTAGTCTGGTGCGGTGTTGTCCACTAAAACCCCCACAGTGCAGTCATCCACGTACTTCCACTTGTGAGGAGTGTCCGATAGAGCGTCTTTAATCAGGATGAGTAAGCACAGTGGTCCCATCTTGGTCCCCTGGGGAACACCGCAGGTGAGGTGTTGGAATGTAGAGACCAAGCCCTGATACGTCACTGCTTGGCGACGTCCACTCAAGAAATCAGTGAGCCATGAGACCAGGTTGGTGGGCAGCCCAAGTGCAATAGCCTTGTTGATAACAGTGCAGTGATCAACAAGGTCACTGGCAACGGCCAGTGTAATGTAATATGACGTGCCCTGCAGCGGAAGGGATGAAGCCGCTTGACCTAGCCGTGTCAGTTTCACCCCTCCCGGCCACACCATGTATACCGGTATCTATTGTTCCATATGAATGGCTGCCACCAGACCACCACCACCACAGAAAAACCTTGCATTACCTGGACCCAGCCGCCCTAAGCCAAAGAAAATACGACGTGCCCAAAGCTACGATGTGTACAAGATTATGCAAGAGTTGGAGAAAGGAACAAGACAAGTTGATTTGGCGCGCCAGCATGGGGTGTACGAATCTACGATCCAGACGATAAAGAAGGATGCAGCCAAGATAAAAGAACACATGAACATCACAAAGTCTTCAGGTGCTTCAATGATCAAGTATTGCCAGAACAAGGTGCTTCTCAAGGCGGAGAATTTACTTATGAGCTACTTAATTCGTCAGGCAAGACAGAACATGGCGGTCGACACGCGGTCAGTTCAGGAGTACGCACGTGAACTGTACGCAGCAGTGTCACCTAAGATGGGAATTGCAGAGCCCAAACCCTTCAATGCTTTCTCTGGGTGGCTGCACAGGTTTAAGAAGAGGAACAAGATCACCAACATTAACATTGGTGGTGAAGAAGCGAGTGCTGAAAGTGTTGCGGTTAGGGATTTTCCTCCGTACTTACGTGAGATTATGGAGGAAGGACAGTACACCAACGACCAGGTGTTCAACATGGACGAATCCGGTCTGTTTTGGAAAAAGCTACCTTCCAAGACCTTCGGTGTCCAGTCTGCCAGCAAGTGTCGGGGCCAGAAGTTACAGAAGGAGCGCATCACCGTCCTCTTTACCACCAATGCCTCCGGTTCCTGTAAACTCAAGTTATCGGTGATCCACACAGCCCGCAAGCCACACGCCTACAAGAACATGGACATGACCACGCTAAATGTCCACTGGCTGACCGCACATATGGCGTAGATGTTCTCTGCTCTGTCCCTCTCCTGGTTTGATGACTGTTTCGTTCCCGAGGTGAAGAAATTCTGTGATCAACAGAATGTTCCATTCAAGATTTTGTTGCTCCTTGACAACGCACCAGGACACTCAACCCTACTGTTGGATCGTCACCCCAACGTAAAAGTGGTCTTCCTTCCTCCCAACACTACGTCATTAATCCAGCCCATGGACCAGGAGTTGATATGCAACGTCAAGGCTGCATTCTCTGCAAAGAAGTTTAAGCTCCTGAACGACTGTACCAACACCAAGGATGAGTTGCGTAACCTGGGTGACACCGATAGCAAGAGCAACGAAGATGAGGAACAACAGTTGGCAGAGCAAGAAGTTCTCGTCAAACACTTTTGGAGGAAATTTAACGTCAAGAAAGCTGTGGATTTCTTGGTGGAGGCATGGGATCACCTATCTGTAGCAACGGTTCATCACGCACGGAGACATGTGTTGCAAGGTATCCCAGGTGGGAGGCAGAGTCAACCTGTGACTGGTGAGGTTCAGACTGTTGCAGTAGCAGTGGACCTGGCCAGAGAAGCTGCACAGAGTGTTCCAGCTGCAGGCTTCTCTGAGACCACCAACGAAGACATCCTGAAGGTGATCAGGGATCCTGAGGTGACTGCCGACGAGATGTTAGAAGACGATCACGTCAGTGAAGAGGCAGGTGGTGCGTCATCCCGAGAAGAACACAATTTAACGCATGGTAATGTAAGGGGTGCCATCGAGTGTGCAGAGAAACTGAAGCTCCTCCTTTCCAACGACCCTAACGATAGCTGGTATGAAGTCTTCACTACCCAGCTGTTGCAGACTATGGAGCCATACATCAAGGTGTATCACAACAACATCAACACTAGCCGTCAACAAAGCATTACCAAGCTCTTTGCCCGCAACCCACCACAGCCAGCCCAATCCAGTGATAGTGACAGAGAAAGAGACAGTGATGGTGACTTTGAAGGATTTGTCAGGGAGGCCCTGACAAATGTGGATGACAGTGATGGTGACTCGCCTGTGGGCCAGTAGTCTGCCCTCTGCCTCGGAACCAGCCGCCATTCCCATACGCCGACCCACCTCTTCTACTAACGTTAGTGTTAAACCTAACCTTGATTTTTCCTAACATAACCTAACCTTAAGTAAGTGTTAAACCTTGATTTTTCCTAACATAACCTAACCTTAGGTAAGTGTTAAACCTTGATTTTTCTTTTACCTGGTACAGTATATTATTCTCTTATTGATATTTCTCTTCTATATTATGTGTGTGTGCATACCATCATAAAGCCAAGATGTTATCTTTACTAAAACGTACGTATTGTGTCGGGAAAAAGTGCAGTTTGGGGGTCGGCCCAGTCTCTATATCAATTAATCCCATATGTTCTGTTGTTCCGTTTACGTGTTGCCCGTTTTAAGCGGGCCTCCACAGGTTCACTTGACCTCATAAAGCGGGGTATTACTGTACAGTAAAACCTCGATTAACCGACTTTCAGATTAACCGTCAATCCCGAACCCCTAAAAAAAAAAAATAATAATTTTTACGGGGATTAGCCCACCCGGGCACAGGTCACTGACCCACATCGGGGCCTGGGGGGCGATAATGTAATAATATTAATAATGATAATGCTAATAATAATAATAATAGTAATAAAGAACCATAAAGAAATGCAAAAATGAAAAAAAAAATCAAGAGTGAGAAACAATGTATCTGTATGTATGTTGTGTTGTCAATAGTAAGAGAAACATTTGAGACCCTGCAATTGTGTGTAAATGAGGCAGAAAGTCAGATTAGCAACCTGGGACTTGGTCACAATTTTCGTGATGACATATGTTCTTTGACTTTTTCATTTTTTATTCACGGTTTCTGTGCTGGTTCATATTTATTTACTAAAGTGGTTAATGTTTTAAAGCAAATTCTATTAAAATATGAATGGCAAATGAACAAAAATGAAGAGGGACTTAATTGAGGTAGGTTAGGGAAAGGTATTTTGAAAATGTATGTTTTATTTCCGTAGACTGTATGTACTATTAACCGACCTTTTCGATTATCCGTCAGCCCCTTCCCCCCCCATATGTGGTCGGTTAATCGAGGTTTTACTGTATATCACAAAAACTGGTTTTTAGAAAAGTTGATTTTCTTTTCACAATTTAACCCCGCACGCCGGGGGGGGGGGGGGTTTACTGCCAGCAGCGCCCTAACCCGGGGCTTAAGGGTTAACTAACGGTTCGGTTAACGAATTATCTTTCATAATAATCTTCAATTCGGTTACCCGGTAATGAACAAAAATTTGATTAACGAAATCCTTATGAACATCACGTCTTGTTGTGAGCATCAGCTGATCAGCTGATGGGCTAGTCTGCCAATTCAGTAATCTGTTCTATGTTTACATTCGTTTCCAGTGGAGTAAATATCAATAAAGTTGTGCTCTTTAATATTTTTGCATTTTTTATATTAAAATTATTAGTCATTTTAACATTTATTTAACATATTGATAATATATGCAATACAGGGAACTTGTTTTTTGTGTGCCCATCAGCAGCTTGAGTCAGCCACAAGGCATCAGTTGGGCTCTGTTGACAATAGAGTGAGCATCTATTTTATTGGTGTCTTGAAAATTTTTGCATTTTTCATTAAAATTATTGGTAATTCTGAAATTTAGTTTACATATTGATAATATATAGAGCAGTGGTGCAGTGTTGATTTAAATAAAATAATCTTGAATTACACCTAGTGAACTTAAAATTTTATTGGTGAAATGACGGCATCAAGCATGGGTCCCCTGAGAGGTGATTTCTCCTCCATCCCCACTTCCTTCTCTTCTCCCTTCTCCTCCACCCCCACTTCTAATTCCCATCATCATCATCAACCAGGAACCTTCTACATATACACCTCAAAGTAAGTGTACTTAACTGCATTTTTTTTTACTTTGTATGTACTTTTTGGTGAGCTGGAACCAATTACCCAATATCCCATTGAAACAATGGATTCGGTTAACGAAATTTTCGGTTAACGAACGACCCTCTGGAACGAATTGTGTTCGTTAACCAAGGGACCACTGTATAGGACTCCCCTACTTACAAAATAGTTAGGTTCCTGAGGTCTGCTTGTAAGTCCATTTGTTCGTAAGTCCAACATTACTCTTGTCAATACTGAATACTGTATACAGCATTGTAAAAAATGGTTGTTGAGACAGCTATACCCCAATAATACTCGACAGTATTTCTTACCAGCCTTAAACGGTATTTTGATGCCTTCACTAAGAAGGCTTTGTATATAAATCTGAACTAAAAGCTACGGTAAGACATTGTTTTCATTAGTAAAGCTAGTTGTATGGTGATAATTATTGTAAAATTGTGAGTCTGTGGGTCCACATTGGTTCATGTTCAGCATGTCACTTGAATCTGCTAACCTTTGGCTGCCTTTGTACATTCTAATGTATTCCCACACTAGTGTTTTTTACAGTAAAGAAAGTGTCAAGATCTTATTCAGAAGGTCTGCTTCAGAATGCCATAAGAGGTTTCTTTAAATTCCCATTGATCACCTGGAAAGACCAAAAAGTGAAGAAATTGACTTGTTGAGAGTGAATCCCCCAGCATATTTGCATCTCAAGAAAACAGACTGAGAGATGGAAACAGTACTTACAATCTGAGAGTCCACTGTTCTTAATTCCTTCAATATACTTCTTAAAATCTTGAAAGACATAGCCCTCTTCAGCAAGTAGAGTAATTTCACTGATGCGTGTGTTGTTTGTGAAATGCCAAGACTTTAGCTTATCATCACTGTTTAAGTATACCATGTACTTCTCTGTTTTTATTCTCTTCATCAAATGTGAATATACCACCTTGAAATTTTCTGTAAAAATAAGAAATATTCTTGAGTCATAAAATACTGCTGATAAAGCAGAAAATTTACACGCACATCAGATATGTAGTGACTTTGTAATGAGAAATCATGATCAGCAATTGAGAAGTACTTATTTACCATACTGTATTTCTTTATTTTCTGTATGAACAAAATTTATTATGGAAACAGCCTTATTCTATTCACTTACGGGATTAGCTCCGAGTGTAGATTGAGCGAGAACATTACTTATTCACTCAAACATATTGTTGTATTTCCACTGTTTATACAATTTACAACATACCACAGAATAATCAGTATTTCTTTAGGGTGTGGTAATCTATATAACTGGGCGAGGACAAACATCTTGACTCCATCGTGACCAAGATATGACTGTGTTATCAGCGGCATGAGTGGGAGGGTCACCCAGTGTAAACATCCCAAACTTGACCTTGCAACATGTGACATTTTTTGTGCACTGCATTCCAAATGCTCTGAATTCCAGAATGTATGTCACACTCCTCCACTTATCATTCAAGAATGTATGTTGCAGTTATCAAGTTAACATGTTGAACTCATGATTAAAGTTGTGGTCTACCTCTCACCCTCATGTTCACTACTATAAACATTCATCACCAAACTATCATTCACTATACATTCCACATGTCTAGACCAACTCAATATAAATGCATCTATGAATCTCTAGTGATATCCCCGTTAGCCGGAACAATTGGTTCAGAGCACTTCCGGGGATGAGAGATTTCTGACTTACCAGACGACTTTCTCAAATCCAGAAAAATTCCTTATCCCCGGAATCTTTTCCGGTTACTGTGAAAAGTTTCCGAGTGTCTAAACTAGACATCTTTCACAGACGGACACTTGCCCACTTCTCCAGAACGTTTCTGGGAGCTGTGGATGTTTTCCTCGAGTCTAAACTACCAGAATCCGTGAATGCAGTTCTAATTTAAATTAGAAAATCCATTTCTTTACTATAATAATCCAGAATAGTTTATCTAAAAGTATGGTTACAACAAAGACTGGTACTTTCCACTCCCATGGAGCTGTGGGGGATTAGTGGTCTCATATTGCTGACCTTCTGATGGAATGTCAGGTCACCCTTTCTTGGGTGGGGGATTAGTGGGTTCATGACCTGAAGATGTCTTGAATAAACATGAAACCTAAAATATTTTTAGGGAGATTGTGATAAGTTTAAGTATAAATGAGCAAAGTTGTATCCCTTCAACATTACATTACATAACAATTTAAAATATGGAGTGAGAAAGCAGAAAGTTATGGCCCAGTCATGTTAATATTGTTATTATTATCCACTTTGTATCTGTGTTCTTCTGGCTAAATAAACTGTTTCAATATCAAAGTAAGTGGTGGTGGTGGTATGAGGAGGGGGTGACCTGGGGAAGAGACCTTGGGGAGGGAAGAGACCTTGGGGGGACCTGGAGAAGAGACCTTGGGGAGGGAAGAGACCTTGGGGGGACTGACTGACTGAACACCCCCCAAAAAGGTTCATCTCTAACACGCCCACTCTCCCACCCCTGCCATTCCTACTGTAACTCAAATTTTACTCTCTTGTTTTTAATAGCTTATAAAGATATGTTACTGTAATAATCTGTGCTTATTAATACCTGTATCCTTCATATACAGTACCATACTTATTTTTACAATGTACCAGTACTGTAATGATTAAATAAAAAAGTGAGGATTTTGGAAATGGCTAAGCCTATCCGCCACCCACTCTCCTTCCTGTGGAGGGGTCTGGGTGAAACAATTGCCGTATTATTCAGCTTGTCATGTAATTTTGATGTCATTGGTGAAAAGGGCAGTCTGCCATCCAGCCTCCCTCTTTCCCTGCCTGCCTCCCCCCTCCCTGCCTGCCCCCTGGCTCCCTCCAACTCACAGCGTCTCACACAAAAGACTTTAACTCTAGATACAGTGAGTTCTGCTATAACGCGTGTTTTGATAACGCGAATTTGCTCTAACGCGATTTATGAATTCGGAACAATATTTGTATAACGCGAACGCTTGTTTGCTATAACGCGATTTTTGCTTACTATTTCTCCAATTTTGTGGTATTAACTGTGATTATGGTAAAGAAGAATATCTCCAAAAAGCGTTCTGATGATAGAATTCCCGGTGATTATCGTAAAAGAAAGGATATAACACTTGAAGAGAAGCTCGATGTTATCAACCTCAAAATCACCCTTCTCCCCCATCAAGTTACATTCATATTTTTTCAAGGTAAAGTGTTACATTTACTGTATGATTTCATTATTAGATATGAATGTAACATTTATTTAGACTGTGCTATCCTTTGTGTTAGGCTAACTACTAAATTTTTTCGATTTCGAGTAATCTGCACCTAACCCTATTTTCTCCATAAGCCCTGTTATTTCTATTACGCGATTTTCTATAACACGATATTTTACAAGAACACAATTATCGCGTTATAGCAGAACTACCTGTACATATATATTTATGTGTGTGTGTTATGTTGTGGTGTTTGGGTATTAATTAATGAATAACAACTCTGCTTTGAAAGCATTTGAGGTGGATGTGGGATAGATCATTAGTGGGTCTCATGTTTTTGACCTGACCTGTGGTTATGTCACCCATTTTTTTTATAAGCTCTTCTTTTGTTTGCGGTAGAGGTGGTGTGTGGATTAGTGAATCCACACTCATTGTATATAAGCCTCTCTCAGTCCTTGTAAATTCAGTTGCCTCTGAAGATGTCTTGAATAAAGACAAAAGCTAAGGTGCTCCAGTATAGTTAGTTGACCAATAGGTAGTAATGAACAACATACACAGTGGCGGCAGGACACAGACTGTGCGGATGTAAACAAACCCGATGTGCCAATTGACGCTTGGCTCAGAATCTAAAGGAATCATACTCGATTTAGTGAAATAGTTTGATAAATCGAGCGACCATAACAGAAAGCTCGATTTAACAGAAATTTTTATTTAACGAACAGGAGTGTCTCGAATTAGTTCGTTAAATCGAGAAAATACAGTATATTACCCTATTTATTATCAAAATACATACGTACTGTATTGTTTTTAATGGGGATACTGTACAGTGATCTAATCAGATTTGATATAGGCCTAACGAGAGCTAATAGGTATGAGAGATGAGACTTGATAAGGGGATTGGCCATTGCATGATCACAAGTTTTTATTTATTCATTATATAGTACAGTATTTTCGTATGATCAGCCTATTATGGTGTATGTCTCATCATAAATAATATAACACAGTACACTATTAAATAATAGAGAAAATACAATATATAATTTGTATAATGATAAGAACATCTGTTGAAAAATGAACCAAATTGAACATCTGGTGGTAGCAGTTTCCTCACAAATTACCAATGAATGATTTACAGGAATAGAATAAGAACTACATTAAGATACAGTACAAAACAATGTTTGGGTACATAGCAGTGGAGAGGAGGTGGTGGCAAGTGGTGGTGGTGAAGGAGAGAACAACTCGCCACCTCCCGCTCGGCAGCCCACGATCCCTTTAAGAAGTCTACTTAAACAGCAGGATGTGTGACTGAAAACTGAAGGATGGTTGAGACTGGATCCCTATGGTCTAGTTAGATTACACAGAGCATGTAAAGAAGCATGGCAGCAATAGACTCTTGGGTATCACCTTCGACAATTGACTCACCAGTGCTCACCCCATTTTTAGTGGGTATGTGGGTCCTGGTAACCCTGAGACATCAACCTGCAAGCCTGATGACAAAACACATGAATAACCTGAGCTACTATGTTAACAACAATAAGTACATTAGCTTCTTACCAGGTGTTGTCCAGACTTGTAACATAGGAGAGTTTCCAGATGTGTTGTACAGGTCATGATCTACTATGGCATTCAGGTCAATTATGTTCTCTTCTTTAACAGCACTCATGCCATGGTCACTTAGAATAATCACATCTACAGTGTCCTTCAGTCCATGCAACTGAAGCATATGGTACAGATATCCGATATCTTCATCAATCTGTAACAGGCAGGTAATACACCTTTTCACAGATCCGTTGAGACATTGTTACATAACTATTTGACAAATTTCATAACCGAATGACAGAACACATATCGAATGACAATCTAAAATAACTGTTCGTTCATGCTAACGGAAGTGATTGACATAAGTTATGAAGTTGACAGACGTGAACAATAAACCGACAGTCTACATATAGTTTGAGAATGTAACAATTGGAGAATGACATACCACCAACAATTATTTTAGATTGTCATTCGATATGTGTTCTGTCATTCGGTTATGAAATTTGTCAAATAGTTATGAAACAATGTCTCAACGAATATGTGAAAAGGTGTACTGAAAAACACAATAATAATAATAATATAGCATGCCTGGACAATTCGCGGATTTTTAATTTGCAGATGACATCCTGGATGTACCCAAGAATGTCTAAGGGTACTTTTAAAGTTACTGGCTGTAATAAGTTATGCTACACTTGTACACTTGAACCCGTGACTTCTATCTCGTTATGTGTGTATGTACATATGTTATGTTTCTTATCATTTTGTTTTGTTTTGGGTTATATTGTATTAGTAATTTTCATTGTTCCCTTCACTTACTAGAATATTCTTTTGTTCTCTTCCAGATGCCATACTACTCTTGGTCAGTTATATTAACAATAAAGCCTAGAAAAAGGTCGACTCTAGTCTTCTTTCACCACAATTTATTGTTCACATAACTGAAACCGAGTCATAATAGGAGAAGTTCCTGGGGCCGGAAGGTCTGGATGCTATGCCAAACTCTCCCACCGCTTCAAAGGAGTGGTGCCACTGGTTTCGGACCTTCAACACGTTTCTCACCTCCATTTATGCTCTCGAGCCCTACAAGCTAGCCACTCTGCAATTTCGTCTCCCTATCTGTGTACGAATACATAGCCAACTGTGTCTCGTACGACGCCGCCATCCTGGTTCTGCAAGACTTGTACATAAAGCTGAAGAACGAAGTGTTCGCCCGTCATCTACTAGCTACCAGGAGGCAACACTCGGGCGAGAGTTTGGACAAATATTTACAGGAACTTTGTCAGCTCAGCAAAGACTGCAACTTCAAAGTTGTCACAGCAGAGGCGAACAGAGACGAGTATATCCGTGACGCTTTTATCAACGGTCTACTATCTCCTATGATCAGACAGCGTCTCTTAGAAAACAAGACTCTCGATTTGGCTACTGCATTCGACCAGGCTTGCGCGCTCGATCTAGCTCAAAGAAACTCCGAGTCCTATCTTCAGTCTGAGGCTCCTATGAACGCTGCCGCTGTTACTTCACCTGAGAAAATCGACAGCGATGACTCTCCCCTCTCAGCTGCCACTCAACAACCAAACTGTTATTTCTGTGGTGGAGCACGGCATAACCGACTTCAGTGTCCCGCGCGTGATTCAACTTGCCACAAATACAACAAGAAAGGCCATTTTGCGAAAGTATGCAGATCATCTCGTTACTCACCTGCTACTTCATCTTCCACTTGTGCGGTCTTATACTCTCCTACTTTGGCTGCAATATCTGCGACTTCCCCTGGCTGTCTCGCTCGATCTACCATATATGTGCTTGTTAATGACGATACAGCTACAGCCCTTGTTGATACCTGGAGCTCAAAATCGTTTGTATCAAACCGCTATATCCAGCAGAAGTCTCTGAAGTGTCATCCAGGGTCAGGTTACGTGTCTATGGCCTCATCTTCACTATCATCGCCAGAACTAGGTCACTGTACTGTAAACATTACCCTTAAGGGGAAACTCTATCCAGATACTCAACTAACTGTTCTTCCCGACCTATGCAGTGACGTTATTTTTGGTCAAGATTTCATGCGCCTACATAGTGGTGTTACTATTGATTTCGGTGGGCCTAAAGAGCACCTCATCATCGGAGATAATACAGTTGCTTGTAGCCTGACATCTGGTTTGGCCGATCCACCATCTCTCTTCTCTAATCTGACCTCCCCCTGTAAACCTGTTGCGACGAAGTCAAGATGATTTAGTCAAGCGGACAGGGCTTTCATCCAAGGTGAAGTCAATAAGATGTTGTGGGAAGGAATAATCAAACTCAGCACTTCACCGTGGAGGGCGCAAGTCCTCATCACCACTAATGAGCAGTACAAAAAGCGGCTTGTTGTCCACTACAGTCAAACCATCAACAGGTATACCCAGCTGGATGCTTATCCCTTGTCCAGGATAGACAACTTGGTCACTAACCTATCTCGTTACAAGATATTCAGCACTCTCGACCTTAAGAGTGAGTACAGTACAATCAGATCCCTATACGGGATATGGATAAGCCATTCACTGCCTTTGAGGCAAACGGTAAATTGTACCAGTTCCGTAGGGTCCCATTCGGAGTGACGAATGGCGTGGCTTGTTTCCAACGAACCATCCATGAATTCATACATAGAAACGAACTGCTGGGTACTTTCTCGTACATTGACAACAATACCATCGCCGGTTCGTCTCAACAGGAGCATGATGAAAATCTGTCCAGATTCCTTGAGGCAGCAAAGAAGTCAAAATTCACCTTCAATGAAGACAAATCTGTCTTCTCAGCAACGTCGATTGATTTGTTGGGCTTCACCATATCTCACGGTACTCTCAAACCAGACACCAATCGCTTGCGTCCTCTGAAGGAATTGCCACTTACGAAAGACTTACCTGCTCTACGACGCGTGATAGGACTCTTTTCATACTACTCTCAGTGGATCTCACACTTTTCCGACAAGGTCAGACCTTTGGTCAAGGCTCAGACATTCCCTCTCCAAGGGGAAGCAGTCTCCGCCTTCGAAAATCTTAAAGAGGAAATAGCAAGTGCGGTAGTCAGCTATATTGACGAGACGATTCCATTCGTAGTAGAAACTGACGCTTCCGACTCTTCCATCGCTGCCTCCCTGAATCAAGGCGGTAGACCAGTTGCATTCTTCTCGAGAACACTCTCAGACAGTGAGGGCAGACACTCTTCTGTTGAAAAAGAGACCTATGCTATCATTGAAGCAGTAAGGAAATGGAAACATTTCCTATCTGGCAGACACTTTACTCTCATCATTGATCAGTGATCTGTGTCCTTCATGTTCCACTCCAAGAAGATGGGAAAAATCAAGAACGACATGATCCAAAGATGGCAGGTCGAACTAGCCTGCTTCGACTGCCACATTGTCTATTGGCCAGGGACTGAAAACTCAACTGCTGATGCTTTATCGAGAGCCTTCCGTTCGGCTCCCAACCACAACAATCTGTCAGATCTCCATCAGCAGTTATATCATCCAGGAGTCACAAGGATGGCTCACTTCATCCGCATTCACAACTTACCATATTGTGTAGATGACGTCAAGAAGGTATGTGCTGAGTGCTCTACCTGTGCCAGGCTTAAACCTCAGTTCTACAAACGCAACACAACCGCCCTCATCAAAGCTACTCAGCCTTTTGAGTAGTTAAACATCGATTTCAAGGGTCCCTTGCCGTCGACTTCCCAAAATCGATACCTCCTAACTGTGGTTGACAAACATTCATGATTCCTCTTCACGTTTGCATGCGAAGACATGACTGCCGCAACACTCATCAAGTGTCTGCGTCAGTTATTCGCTATATTCGGCATGCCTGCTTATGTCCACTCAGATCAAGGCTCCTCCTTCATGAGCCGAGAGCTGAGAGATTTCCTCACTAGTTATGGTGTGTTTACCAGCCGGACCACCCCATACAACCCTATAGGAAATGGTCAGTGAGAGCGCTACAGCGGAATAATATGGAAAACCATTACACTCGCTCTTAGGTCTAAGAACATTGCAGAAACTAATTGGGAATCTGTGTTACCTGACACACTTCATTCTATTCGGTCTCTGTTATGTACTGCCATCAACAAAACGCCTCATGAAAAACTGTTCAACTGCCAACGCCGATCAGCCCGTGGTAGTTCGATGCCAACCTGGCTCTCCTCTCATGGACCACTTATACTACGAAGACGTGTCAGGAACAGTAAGTACGACCCTCTGGTTGATGAGGTTGAGCTTCTAGAAGCCTATCCACAGTACGTCCACGTTCGGTTCCCTGATGGACGACGGTCTACCATGTCACTCCGAAATTTGGCCCCTGCTGGACAAGCTGTTACAGATACTGTCGATCCCAAACCTGAACCGACTGAGTTACCTAAGGCATCTACCTCAGTGCCTCTTGAGCCTACACCTGGCACTCAAGTGGCTGAATCTCCTGTCAGGGATGACCCTTCAAGTGATGCTCATCTGCATGAAGCTGTTTTGACAGATTCACCCTTGCTTCCTCGTCGATCGGGTCATGTACGTCGTAAGCCGGATTATTACGGTTGTCTCGATGTCTAATTCAGCCCCATGACTTCTATCTTATTATGTGTGTATGTACATATGTTATGTTTCTTATCATTTTGTTTTGGGTTATATTATATAGTAATTTTCATTGTTCCCTTCACTTACTAGAATATTCTTTTGTTCTCTTCCAGATGCCATACTACTCTTGGTCAGTTATATTAACAATAAAGCCTAGAAAAAGGCCGACTCTAGTCTTCTTTCAACACACTGGCATTTTTGCAACCGGGACAGGGAGCCATTCTTTCTAGAGACAGTAATTTCTTTTACTTGTATTGTATGTGTGCATGTGAGAAAATTTTCCCATTATTATTTATTTGCGTGTGTGTATCTACACACACACACACACACATTTATACAATACAGGTAAAAGAAATAATTATCCTAAGGGAAAACACACATAAAGGGATCATAAATTTCTTCACACACGAGTGCACTGCACTCTAAGATTAAGAGAAAACGGACTCAGGCGTCCTGAAGTGAGAGAAAACGGACTCCTATGATGGGGGACACAAGCACTCACACGTGCCACTCATACTGACAGACTTGACAAGTTTTACCAACCATTATTTGTGTACATTATCTAGTGAATTTAATCAATATTGTACAGTACAAGTACACTGCAATACAGTGCTCCCTCGGTTAAC